ATATCATCATGCTGATTAATTGATAGGACATCAGGCTGATTGATTGATAGGACATCAGGCTGATTGATTGACAGGACAACAGACTGATTGATTGACAGGAAACCAGGCTGATTGATTGACAGGACATCAGGCTAATTGATTGACAGGAAACCAGGATGATTGATTGACAGGACATCAGGCTAATTGATTAACAGGAAACCAGGATGATTTATTGATAGGAAATCAGGCTGGTTGATTGACAGGACATCAGGCTAATTGATTGACAGGAAACCAGGCTGATTGATTTATTGACAGGACATCAGGCTGATTGATTGACAAGACATCAAGGTAATTGACTGACAGGAAACCAGGCTAATTGACGGGACATCAAGCAAATTGATTGACAGGAAACCAGGTTGATTGATTGACATGACATCAGGCTGATTGATTGACAGGACATCAAGCTAATTGATTGACAGGAAACCAGGTGACAGTACATCAAGCTAATTGATTGACCGGAAACCAGGCTGATTTATTGACAGTACATCAAACTATGTGATTGACCGGAAACCAGGCTGATTGATTGACATGACATCAGGCTGATTGATTGACAGGAAACCATGCTGATTGATTGACAGGACACCAGGCTGATTTATTGACAGTACATCAAACTATGTGATTGACCGGAAACCAGGCTGATTGATTGACATGACATCAGGCTGATTGATTGACAGGACATCAAGCTAATTGATTGACAGGAAACCATGCTGATTGATTGACATGACATCAGGCTGATTGACAGGACATCAAGCAAATTGATTGACAGGGAACCAGGCTGATTGATTGACAGGACGTCAAGCAAATTGATTGACCGGAAACTAGGCTGATTGATTGACAGTACATCAAGCTAATTGATTGACCGGAAACTAGGCTGATTGATTGACAGGACACCAGGCTGATTTATTGACAGTACATCAAACTATGTGATTGACCGGAAACCAGGCTGATTGGTTGACAGGACATCAAGCAAATTGATTGACTGGAAACCAGGCTAATTGATTGACAGGACACCAGGCTGATTGATTGACAGGACATAAAGCAAATTGATTTACAGGAAACCAGGTTGATTGATTGACATGACATCAGGCTGATTGATTGACAGGAAACCAGGCTGATTGATTTACAGGACATCAAGCAAATTGATTGACATGACATCAATCTAATTGATTGACAGAAAACCAGGCTGATTGATTGATTGACAGGACATCAGGCTGATTGATTGACAAGACATTAAGGTAATTGACTGACAGGACACCAGGCTGAATGATTGACAGGACATCAAGCAAATTGATTGACAGGAAACCAGGCTGATTGATTATCATGACATCATGCTAATTGACTGACAGGAAACCAGGCTGATTAATTGACAGGACATCAAGCTAATTGATTGACAGAAAACCAGGCTGATTGATTGACATGACATCAGGCTTATTAACTGACAGGACACCAGACTGATTGATTGACAGTACATCAAGCTAATTGACTGACAGAAAACCAGGCTGATTTATTGACAGGACATCAATCTAATTGATTGACAGGTAACCAGGCTGATTGATTGACAGGACATCAGGCTGATTGATTGACAGGACACCATGCAGCAGCTTTGTGTTCATATCTCAACCAAACAATCCAGAACCATTCTGTGGACACTCCCTTCCTGTTGATGGATTTCCTGGCCACGCCCACATCTTTGTCACTTTCTCCTTTAACCTGAACCTCAAAGTAAAATCTGCCTGAAGAGAAACTTTGTTTCCCTAAAACAGAAACCCACTTGGAGAACCTGTCTGGGTTGTCTGAAAGCTCCTTCCTCACGTCTCCGTGGTTCACTTGTTTCCTGTCAACGGACAGGATGAGACCAGGATGTGCTAATCCAGAGTCATGTTCACTACAAGCTGCTGGAGCCTCCTCACATGAAGCTTCTTCATGTTCTGCCTGAGGTTCTGCTCCAGCTGAGCCGCAGCTCTCACCACAGTCCCCTCATATGATGGAGGATGGACTCTGACCTCGGTCCAGTTCTTGGTGGGTGGAGCAGCTTTCAGGGACCTGAAGCTCTGGAGAAGGTGGTCTTCAGATTGTGAGAGCTGCTTCATCTCAGAGCTCCATTCATCAGCCCAGAGATCTCCTGTTCCAGATGTTTGATGAAGTCTTCAGCCTGTTTCTCTGTAGTTTCTGTTTGTCTTCGATCTCCTTCATGAAGCTCTTCTTGTTCCTCTCAACAGAGTCCATCAGATCAGTGAAGAGCTGAAGACCTTCAGCTTTCTCTCTGTCTGCAGCATCTTTACTGGTCTTCACCAACTCTCTCAGCTCCTGGATCTTCAGCCATCTGTTCTGGATCATCTGCTGAACTTCAGCCTTTGTGTTCCTCAGCTCTGCTCTGCTATTCTTCTCTCAGAGGAACAAACTCATGAGTCTTGTGGTCCAAAACATGAGCAGACGCACATCTGGTGGGTCTTACAAAACGGCTGCAGAGGTTGATCGTGCTTGCACAGCTGCCCACTGCTCCACCTGGGTGTATCCCAGGTGTGATGGGTTTAATGCAGAGAGCCAGTTTCATCTTCGTATGGGAACATAGTGATGACATCACATAGCACTTTATTTTTTTATTATTAAACACATTCTGTCCTCCAGGTTCTCCACAGGATCCACCAGCTGGTGTCTGCTCAGGCATGAAGCTGGCAGGTGAGGCTCCAGGTGAGTCTGACAGAAGGAGGCCAGACACTTCGGGGCCTTCAGTTTGGGTCCAGTGCAGACATCACAGGGAACTTCTGGTTCTGCAGCTTGTTTCTCTGAGCTGCAGATGGTTTTCTGCTGAGCTTCTTGTCTGAACTGAATGACCATCTCTTTGATGAAGGTGTTGACTCTGAGCTGAGGCCTCGTGGAGAAGTGCTCTTTAAAAAGAGGACACTCACGCAGAATGTTTTACAGAAGTGGTGTCCACGGTGTGCTGACCGGGTCAATGAACAGGTCCAGACAGACGGAGCACCGGAACTGATCCTCAGAACTCAGATTGCTGCCAGCAGCCAGGTCTGAGCTCTGGGGACAAGAGGCCAAGAGAGAGAAGTCCAGAGACATGGTTGGAAACCAAACAGACCTAATTCAATTCATTCAACCTTTTATTTAGACGGTTAATCCCACAGAGCCTTGAGGACTCATTTGCAAGAGAGACCTGATTTCAACTAATTGAAGTCGAAGGATTGCAGCAAACATTTGATTTAAATGACTGACCGCTGCAAAGAAACAAACAACTTGGAACCTAACAGGACTTGTTGTAAGACAGCATGGAACCTAACAGGACTTGTTGTCAAACAGCATGGAACCTAACAGGACCTGTTGTAAAACAACATGGAACCTAACAG